CCCCCCCAACATTTTTGTGAAGGGCTAGATAATAGGTAGTTTAGCTTTGTGGCCCTTACACAGTTTTTGTTGCATATTCTCAGTTGTTGTTTTCCCTTTGAGACCCTGAGAATCATTCTTAGCTCAAGGGTTGTACAAAAACAGGCCGCAGGCTAGATTTGGCCCATGAGCATTAATAGTTTGCTGACCCCTAAACCTTTAACCTTTATATTATTTTTTGTTTCCTCCAGCTCTGAATTTTTTTCAGCACTGTCTTGTACTGTTGAGATGCACTAAGGGGGTGTTTAGAGTACTGCTTCTGTTACATGGATGGATAATGATTATACCTCTTACTTTACAGATAGGTTCATTATCTCTCCATTGTACCATAGATGAGAAGCGGTTGGCTGGCTATTGTCAAGCATGTGATGTTCTCGTACCTTCTTCTGATATTACATCTCAACAGTTAACTCCATATAGTCAAGTCCATATTTGTTTGAGATCTGGCAATTATCAGGTAAGACTTATGGTGGGGTTGCAGTAGTGTAGTTGAAAAGTTTTGGAAGCCAGACAGAACTGAATTTGAATACGGGCACTGTCATTTACCAGTTGTTTGATTTGTGGCGAGTCAAACTGTGAGATATTGGCCCATAAAATAGTGGTAATAATTACCCATTTCATAATCTTCTTGTGAGAATTAAGTGAGAGAAGTTACAGCTTATAAACTGTAAGGCAAAGCACTATATAGATGTTGACTCTTTAGTATTCATATTATCCTTTCTTGAAGGTGTACAGTTTGCCAATTTTAAGTAAATTCTGTAAGAAACTTTATAAGCGGAACTTTTAACTTTTAAAATTACAGGTAGAGAATTTTTAGTTTTATTGAACCTAAAGTTGTTTTTTTAATTTTTCAATTACAGTTGACATTGAATATTCATTTCAGCTGTACAGCACAGTGATTATACATTCGTATAAGTTACAAAGTGATTCCCCCAATAAATCTTGCACCACCTGACACCATGTGTAGTTATCACAATGTTATTGAGTGTATTTCGTAAGCTGTACGTTACATCCCCATAACTATTTTGTAACTGTCAGTTTGTACTTAATCCCTTCGTCTTGTCACCTGGTCCCCAGCCCCCTCCCACCTGGCAGCCATTAGTTTGTTTTGTCTGTGAGTTTTCTTCTCTCTTGCTTGTTTGTTCGTTGTTTTAGATTCCACATATAGGTGAAATCATACGGTATTTGTCTTTCTCCGTCTGACTTATTTTCACTTAGCAAATGCCCTCTATATGGAGACTAAAGTTTTGTGTCTGATTTCAAAGTATAACCTTGTAGCCCAGTCTTATTATAGCCACTGCAAATATTAGGACTGAAGAAGAAAGTGAGCAGAGCAGCTTGGGTAGGTTTGGATGGTGTGTTACAGAGCCCACTTGGCCAACAAGCCTGGTCATTATTTTAATTTCACTCATGAAAAGAGCTTAGTCTGTTGAGATTTTCATTGCCCCCTGTGGGTAATATCTTTAGTGTTGTAATGAAAATCACTGGGAATTAGAATTTGTACTTTTAAAATTTCTATTGGAAAGCCTTCATTCTAGAATGTGAACAGTGCCTTCATGTTGTTTAGTTCAGAACAGGAGTCGTGCAATGAAGGAGTCATGCAGTGAAATAGCTGTGGCATACCTTTCGTGTTGTGTCTTCACTTAGCCCGACTTTTTAGTTCATGCTTCCCTACTACAGTTAACTTCCCATGGAGACTAGAACGGAGGGGCTAGTACTTTCTTCTCTCCCTCTGGCTCTTTCTAAAAAAGTTCTGCTTTTCCCTAGGGAAGAAAAGGAAACTTACTTGAGAATGGGTTACAGATCCAGATGCATTTATTAGACTGGAGGTCTTTCCATTGCATATCCCCAGTAAGGCTTATGGAGGGTGGGGATCAATTACTGTTAAGATAGAGAATCTGTAAGAAGCTCCCTAAAGTAGGACCTGTGCAAATAACACCTCACAAATATTACTCATAGGTAGGCACGTGTTACTGTGAATATAACAGAGTGCCAAAATGTGTAAATCAAAAAGCGGCGTAATTGGGAAGCTAGGCAGGAAAACTCTGAACTTGATCACTTTAGCTGTGTATGCAGGAGTATCTTAGAAAAACCCTGCTTAGCCCTTTACTGTGTGAGTAGGGTTCTCTGTATGAACCCCTAGCGTTTGCTTTGTGTGAATCAAGCAGTTGTTGAACAGCTGTGACAAATGTGTCTTCTCCCATTTGGCAAAGGCTGTTTCACCCTGTGTGACCCTCCCTTGCTCACATTTGACTATGGAGGTGGAACAGCGAGCGGTTGCCCTATATATAGTTTTGAAACCACTTGTGTCAGTGCTTTTGTGGTAACAGTTGATCAGCTTTAACTGTTTCTAAAATTTTCCCCATTTCCCCACACTGTCGCCCCTTCTTTCTCTCCTCTTCCATTGCTTGATAAAAAGCTGAGAAAGTCAAATTGTTGTAATATTTTTAAAAGTTTGTTGTTGCCCGTCTGGAGTGGCTCAATCGTTGAGCATCGACCTATGATCCAGGAGATTGAAGTTCAGTTCCCGGTCAGGGCACATGTCCAGGTTGTGGGCTCCATCCCCAGTGGGGGGCATGCAGGAGGCAGCTGATCAGTGATGACTCATCATTGATGTTTCTATCTCCCTCCTTCTCTGAAATCAGTAAAGACATATTTTTTAAAAAAGTTTGTTGTATGAATTTGTGTTTAAAGTGAATGAGAAGAAATTTTTAAAACTTTTAATAATGCAGCTGCACTGCCTCTTACTAATGGATTCTTCTCTCACCTCCCATTTTTGGTCCATGATCTTTAATTTTAAAAATGTCAGGTAGGGAGCATCTGAGATCTTGCTCCCAGCATGTGTTGTCAGTTGGCTCAATAACTCTTATACAAATTCTCATTCATAAATAAATAAATAATACTATTTTTGTGATTTTTCTTCAATGTGTATTTTTATTATAGAAAGACTTAAAAATTTATTTTTAAATTTAATTTTTCGGGTGTGGGGGTGAAGACTTTTAAAGTAAAGAAACTTTGCCCTGATTTTTGAAATGGATACAATTTTTTATATGGATGCAATTTTATGTCTGTGTTCTAGGAGGTAATAAAGATTTTCATTGAGGATAACTTAACCTTCAATTTACCCGTCCAGTTCCGACAGTCAGTACTAAGAGAACTCTTTCAGAAAGCTCAACAAGGGTAAGTCAATCAGAGAATTACTTTTTGATTTTTGAATAAGAGAACAAGTGTGCATTTCAGGTTTTATCCAAAATACACCTCCAAATTACCTGTACGCCTGTGACAGTATGTTCAGTCTTGTTAGTATATGGAAATTAACATAGAGGGGCCACTTCAATGTTCTATTAAAAAGCGTTTGGGAGAAAAATCATACATAGCAGAATTTGATTCTGTAACCTGATCTGGAATGAAATTGTCCCTTGATCAATTCAAAACCTTTCTGTTCTGCTTTCGCCCCACTGACTTGGTTATTTACTATTGTGCCTGAGTATCCTAAAATCAACCTCTCCAGAATAAATGGCTCATTCTTGTGAATTTAGTTTTGTAATATATACCTTTTTTTATTTAAAAGATATTAGTGGATCTACTTTTGTATTCTACAGAAATGAAGCTCTAGATGAAATCTGTTTTAAAGTCTGTGCCTGTAACACAGTCCGTGATATATTGGAAGGTAGAACAATTAGTGTTCAATTTAACCAGCTATTTCTTAGACCTAATAAAGAGAAAATAGACTTTCTTCTTGAGGTAAGACATCATTTCCCCTTTGACTTATAATTTTGCTTTAAGTTACCAGTGACCTCTTAGTTGCCAAATCCAGTGCCCTCTTCTCTGCCTTCATCTGACCTGCCTCTGGCTGATGATTGCTATTACTGACAGGAGACACTCTTACCGTGTCTCTTTCCTAGTCCTCCTGCGTTATTGGATTTCCTCCTTCATTGACTTGTTTCACTCTCCTTTTAGTGTTTTTGTTTTACGAAAGTTTTGTCCTTGGCGCCCTCATCTTCTCGGGTCCTTTTTATTCTCATCCAAAGTGTCAGTCACCTTTTCTGTCACCTGCTTACTGAAGACCCTCAGATCACACCTTGAGCCTCTCATGTCAGTTCTAGAGTCTGTGTTTCCACTGGATCTTTCACCGTCTTTCTTTAATAGCTTTAATGTAATGGGCACTGAGAGAAGTACATAAAGCATAATTCGTAACACTTAGTTCCAAAGTGCAGCGTTGCCAACTCTAAAAGTCCTTATGCTCTTTTCCAAATCCTGTCTGCCGCCCTTTGAGGAAACCCCTGTCCTGCCTTTAATGATAATAATTTCTTTGTTTTTCTTTACAGTTGTATCACCTTTGTATGCACCCTTAAAGAATATGCTTTAATTTTCCTGTTTTGAACTTTATATAAATGAAATCATACTAGATGTATTCATTTTCTTTTACTAAACGTATTTGAGACCTTTTTTCAAGTTGTTTAATGCAGATACAGGATTTTTTTCACAGTGTTGTAAGGTGTTTTTTTTAAAAGGTGGAATTAGTTTTAATCCTATATCTTATCTATCCAAATTCTATCATTTCAACATAAAATTAGTATAAAAAGTTGAAAGATTTCACAATTTTTTTCATACTAAGTTTTCAAAGTCTGTGTGTTTTCCTTTAGAGCAGATCTCAATCTGGACTGGTATACCAGTATGCATTGGTATAGAGGTAGAGTTGAACCTTGTATAATGATCTTGTTTCTAACTACTTTGCGAAACTCTTAAAAATTCTGTTAACAGTGTTCATATTTCAAAACAATCAATAGCTGTGTGACTACTGTATTGGACAGTGCAGGTCGATAGTGGGCAGATAGCAGGTGTGTTAATAGTGAAAGGTGTTCCACTGCTGCAAGGTGTTTTAACATCATATGATAGCTTATCCATTCTTATGATGATAGATGTTTGTGTTTATAGTATTTTGCTATTGTGCTGCTTGGAACATCCTTACATGTATATCCTGGTGCATACATGTACTGTTTGTCTATACACTTAGAGGAAGTGTGTCTGAAATATTACTTGCATGAGAATTCTTGTTGGTCAGCATCTTTACCAGTACTTGGTATTTTCAGATTTGCCTGTCAGATCGTTGTATAATGGTACCTCTTTGAGTTTGACTTCTCTTTTAACTTTCTTTTTATTGTTTTAAAAGCTCTTAAATTTAATATAAAGTTTTATAAAGGATTCATGATTTCTGTATCTTATTTAAGAAAGCTTTTGCTATGCTGCGGTCATGAGGATTGTCTTAGTTTCTTTCCTAAAAGCTTTATAGCTTAGCTTCCTTTCTCATTTGGGTCTTTAATCCACCAACAATTGATTTTTTGTGTGTCATCTGAAGTGGGGGGTCTGGTGCCATTTTTTTTTTTTTACCCTCATATGACTGTTTGTTCCCATACCATACTGAATGGTCCATCTTTTTTCTACCAATCCCCAGTGCTACCTTTATAGAATGCCAAGTGTGTATGGCCTATTTCTGGGCTCTGTTCTTTACCACTTCTCTATTTGTCTACCCGTCAGTATTCCTGTGTCCTTGTTTTTCAGAGTTGTATTGGTTTGCTTGTCCTTTGCGTTTTGTTGTAAACAATAGATTCAGATTGTCAGGCTCCACAAATAAGCCTGATGGATTTTTGTTTGGAGTTACATTACATTGAAAAAACAATTTAGAAGAATTAATATCTTTACAATATTGAGTATTCTAATCCATGAACTGGTGCAGCCCTTGATTTATAGAGGCTTTTTTTTAAATGTCCTTCAGAGCTTTGTAATTTTTCTATAGAAGTCTTTTTTGTTTTTTCAAATGTACACTTAAAAATAGTTTATGCATTGGTATAGAGGTAGAGTTGAACTTTGTATAATGATCTTGTTTCTAACTACTTTGCGAAACTCTTAAAAATTCTGTTAACAGTGTTCACCTGTAAAAATGCATTTTGGGTTTTTCCTTTTCTGATCTTTTATTTCAGTTTCTTTTTAATTGTTCATACTGTGCTGACTGTGACCTCTAGTACAGTGTTCAGCATAAGGGGCTCTGGTGCACTTCCTGGTCTCAGTCTCAGTTCAGAGGAAAGCTTGTACTGTTTCACCACTTAGAATGATGTTTATTGTGTTTTTCTTGTAGCTGTTCCTTATCTGATTAAGGATAGATGAAAACTTCCTTATTCACTGAGGGCTCTCTTTTTTTTTTTTAAAGTGCCCATACTCAAATAAAAATACTCAAATTTCTAGGTATGTTCAAGATCAATAACTTTAGAAAAACCTTCAGATTCTTTGAAAGGAAACATGGCTTCTTTTCTAAAGTAAGTACCTTTCTTTTTTTCTTTTCCTTAACTTTGAACTTAGTCCTGTGAGGAAAGTACCTTTTATTACTTTTTGTGTTTGAACTGCATGTCTTATAAACAGCCAGTAACTGATATTTGAGAACCAGTTATGGTTGAGATTAGTGTAGCCTCACAAAACTTATGATTGTACCAGTTACTCTTATATTGTCATTGATATCACAATTTTAAATAAGGAACCAAAGTGAAATGGTGATTTATTAAATGGTTTGTTAATAAAAATTGGTTAATACTGTTTTCCCCAAACTAAATTACATATTTTTTGTTTTACAATATTTCTTACTGATCTAGGAATGTATGTCTGGGGTTGGAAGATCTGCAGTATGTTTTCATGATTTCTTCACATGAGCTTTTCATTACGTTGTTGAAAGATGAAGAACGAAAGCTACTTGTTGATCAGATGAGGAAGAGATCCCCTGGAGTGAATCTGTGCATTAAACCTGTGACTTCCTTTTATGACATCCCAGGTCAGCTCTCCAGTCTGCTAGCTGATGTTGACACATTTTGTCCCGCTATTATATTTGCCCCTCAGTATATTTGATGATGCCCTATTAATTGTTTTAATTTACACTTATGTTGGTAATTAATAGAAATCTACCTATTTTCCATAATTATATTTCTATCTAGGCAGTTAAGTGCTGGGACTTGCTAAATCTATGGTTAATGGGGAATTAGGCCCAGATACATGAAAGATTTTTGCTAGGGAAATAGACCAAGGTAACTCTGATGCTAATATGACCTTGGGAAGTAACAAAAGAGGTGGGAGGGGACTGGTTGAATGTGCTAAGACCATAAGAAAGTACAGGCTTTCATGCATTTCAGCCAGTATTGCTGTGATGTTGACTAAACATTTAGAAACATTTAGCTTTGGCAATACTACTGCCATTTTTGCCTTATTTATTTGATTTTCTTCCATTTTTGCCCTTATTTCATAAATATAAGTAGAAAATGTAGTGTTGTTAATTAATAAAAAACAAGTTTCCATACTTAATGTAGGTGAGACAGAGAATTCAGTTGGTTAAAGAAAAAGGCAACATTTTAGCTGCTTGGAAGTTCACTGGATTTAAACTGGGTGACTGTTCAGTTCAATTGGGGGCTATCTGAAAGCTGAGTTGTAATTAGGGGTTTTAATGATCATTTCATGCTCCTTTGGAAAGGCAATACCTCTTCCTCTCCCTTCAAAAAACATACATTTTAAGTATTTATTATTCAAAATTAACATTTTATTTATACAAGCTTCTGTTAACACTTTATGTTCACAAAGTAGGAGGTTGCCTGTATAAGTTCATTTTTTCCATATGTACCACATAGTTCTTTTCAGGAACCAGTTACTGATTTTCACCTTGTTTATAGTTCCATCATCTTTCTCTGTTAAATGCAAACATAATGTAAATCATGTTAGGTTTTCTCTGAGGTTAAAGTTAGTATGTAAATTACATTTTGTTGATGAGTCAGTTCTCAAGATGAGAGCTGTTTTTAACATAGATGTAATACTAAGAATTAAAAACCCATAGATTTAATACAGACATACACAACTTCTCTCAATAAGTTATCATTCATACTTATAGGATTATGTCTACCCGTGAATTAAATCATTATTAAAATAGAAATCTCTTTCTTTCTTAGCCTCAGCAAGTGTCAACATTGGCCAATTGGAGCATCAGCTGATATTGTCAGTGGATCCCTGGAGAATTCGACAAATTTTAATTGAATTACATGGTATGACGTCAGAGCGCCAATTCTGGACGGTGTCAAATAAGGTAAGAAACCCTCTGTCAAGAACAGATAATAAAATTACCCTTGTTTTCTAATGTAATTTAATAGAAGAGTTGTAGCCTGACCTTTTTGAGAATAAGGACACCTTTTGTCAACAATTTAGGACCTTCACACGACAATAATTGTACTTTGAACATTAACTGACAAGAGAAATAAAAAATGTCAAAAAAGATACTGTTAAATCAGTAACCTCTTACCAGTAAGTTTATATTCCACTTACTGTTATAGCATCTACATACACTTCAGTATATCTGTAAATATATGTATAAGGTATATTATTTATGTAGTTTATAGCTAATACTTGCTATGTGCTTAAGAGAGTATTTTTGTTTGTGCTTAATAGAATATTTTTGTTTGTTAATACCTTCTTGAGGCCTAAAACTTATAGCTTGGAACCAATTCGTTAAAACTTCTTTATAGACATTTTTGGCTCTAGATACTCATTAAAACACTCAGCCAAGCACAGTGAGCCCCTTGCAGTGCTCGACCCCAGAATTCCCCTGGCTTGCCTACAGAGATGCTGACAAGGAAGTAGCCTTTGATGATGCAGCAGAAGAAAGTGGGATCAACAAAAAGTACAAATACAGGAAAAGAATATGCCTTTTCTTTATGATTTGGTGATGACCCATGCTCTGGAGTGGCCCAGCCTAACTGCACCATGGCTTCCAGATATAACCAGACCAGAAGGGAAAGATTTCAGCTTTCATTGACTTGTCCTAGGGACACACATGTCAGATAAATAGCACCATCTGTTATAACCAATGTGCAGCTCTCTAATGCTGACGCTCAGTTTGATGTTTCATGTTACGGCAGTGAGAAAGGAGGATTTGGAAGTTTTGGTTCTGTTAGTAGAAAAGTTGATATAGAAATCAAGATCAGCAACGAAAGAAAAGTGAACAGGTCACGTTATATGCCAGAGAACCCTTGCATGTGATGTTCTTGTTTTTGACTATACAAAATGTCCTTCTAAACAGGAGCCTCTAAAGAGTGTGGCACAGACATGTGTCTTCGTGGACATCAAAAGGAATGCTATGGGCTTGCTTGGAGCCCAAATCTCAGTGGGCACTTACTTAGTGCTTCAAATGACCACACCATCTGCCTGTGGGACATCAGTGCTTTTCCAAAGTATGGAAAAGTTGTGGATGTGATGACCATCTTTATAAGACATACAGCAGTAGGAGGAGATGCTTCCTGGCATCTGTTTCATGAGTCTCTGTTTGGGTCATTTGCTGATAATCAAATTACTTGACATCTGTGTGCCTCAGTTTTCTCATCTGTAGAAGGGAGATAACTACCTACATTATGGCATTGTTGCGAGGACTACATAAGTTAATACAGATACTTTTGTTCTTTTTTTTTATTTCCTTCAGAATGTTCCAGTCAGTTTAATTGTTTATTACTGACTCATTATAGTGAATATGTTCATTTTGATTAGTGTTTTATTATGGCTATTATTTTTCATTTTAAAAGATGACCTTTGATTTTTAAAATTTGATTGAAGATTTTCATCTAGATTTGGCTTTCTGTGTATATTTATATATTTTTATATATTTTTATTTCTTCCAGTGGGAAGTACCTTCTGTCTATAGTGGTGTTATCCTGGGAATTAAAGACAATTTAACAAGGGATTTGGTATACATTCTCATGGCCAAAGGTTTACACTGCAGTACTGTTATGGTGAGTAAAGGTGTACATTAACTACTGGTTAAGAATATGGTTTAGCATGAAAGCCAGAATCAGAATCTGTTTTTCCCCCCTGATCTTAAAATAATAGTCATAGGCCTAAAAGGATATTTGAAAAAGTGTTTTGGTTCTTTTTTCTTTGCCCTCATAACTACCAAAGTGGTTTGGTCGTATGAATACTGCTCTTCCTTTTTACATATCTAGAGAACATGAAAAGTTATTATTTGTAACCTTTAGGATTCATTTAGTAAAGATTGTGTTCCAAGCTATAAAAATAAAACAAAATCCCTTAAAATTACTTTTGTAGCTTATTTTACATAAGGAGTTTGCAGTCCATTTGGAAAGTTGAGACATAAGTGAGATGTTAAATGATATAAGATAGTATAATTTTAAAAGTAATAATACGGTAAGTTCTATAGGAGGTTTGAAGATAGCATTTGGAAGGCAGAAATCCTGTGCTTAACCTGAGGCTTGGCTTAGCTAGATGAAGAGGTGGATGGGATGCCATGAGGAAAAGCTCACATTTAAGAAATAAGACAGTGTGTGTGTAGACTGGAAGCAGTATGCAAATACTCATTTGTTCTCTGAGGGTGGGGCAGATGACGAGGCTGGATGGAGGTAAGATCCAGCCTGTAAAGACCCCTGAGGTGGTTGGTTTTTCTAGCTAGAAGTCTAAGATGTGGACACCGTAGTTTTAAGGGAAACAGTTCCCAGCTTTTCAACTTCTCTTTGTACTCTTTCCTAAAACTGATCTGGCTGAAAATACTTCCAGTTCACACGTCATGTTGTTTTTTCATTATCATTCCATTCCCTTTTCACAATTGTCCTTTTCCAGCTTACTTTAAAAAAAGATGGTGGAGGTTA